GATACCGGCAACAAGGAGGATCCCGGTCCCTCCAAAAGCAGAGAGACAGTAGACCATCAGATAAGTGGTCCGCGGAGAAGTTTGAGAAACAGAAAGAATACGAAATTTTTTGTCAGCAACCATCAATTCTTTCATGGTCGCGCTGGTATGAAAACAGACTGTTCAAAAAGTCATAAAAGTGAACTGGTGAAGGCACCAAACGAAAAAAGGTGGATGTGAATTCTAGAACTGTTTTGTGTCTGAGGAAGATGATGTAGACACATTGGATATGTGAAATAGGGATAACTGTCAATCTTATACGAATGTGACGACATTGACAGTGAGTGGAACAATGGATTTTTTTTTACGGTGGTGCGATGGACTTTGAAGGACTGCACCTGCCAAGCGTTGTTTGTGGTTGATAACACACAAAAAAAGGCAGGGGTGGATGTAACTAGGGGAAGTTACCAAGAGACATAACGTGTTACAGTCTGACGTCACAGTGCAGGTGTTGGCTGATGCCAAGGCGTAATATCTCGGGAAGCGATACGAAAGACGGTCTGTCAACTTTGATGTGACAGGATGCAGGTGGCTTATTAAAATCGGACTGTACGACAGAAGCGGCGTAATTAACAGTCTGATGTAACGATTAGAATCGATTACAATTACGATTATGATAGGACCGAATATGAGTACGATTATGAAGGGGATATAAGGAAGGCGACGGCTGAGCTCGAGGTCTCTCAGTGTCTCTCAGAAAGGCAGTCTCTCTCAGTCAGTCAGTCGGTCAGTCAGTCAGGGAGTCGCACTCTCTCTCTCAGGGTGGCAGTATCAAGTTGGTTATATTGTGTTAAGAAGGACGTTAGACATGTGTATTCAGTTAGATGAAGCCTAGTGAGGACTGTTGGGGGTCCGTTGATTCAGACTATTATTGTGAAACCTCTCTTGATTCATTATATTATTGTGAAGCATTCTTTGATTCATGTAATAAAAGGATCAATAATGAACCTGCATCTTCGAGTATCTATGCTGTGGTCAATGTTGTGTGGAATGAGTGGTTAGACTCGGGAAGGTCACATTTGGCGTTGTCGGCAGGGTAGCCAGAGACTCGTTACATTTGGCGTTGTCGGCAGGATAGACTCGGGGACTCGTTACATTTGGCTCTGCGAGCAGGATAAGTCTCGTTACATATGGCGCTGCGAGCAGGGTATGCAACTTGCCTAGGTAACATATATATATACATATATATATATATATATATATATATATATATATATATATATATATATATATATATATTTATTTATTTATTTATTTATTTATTTATTTCTTTATTTATATATATATTAATATATATGTTAGGTTGTGAAATTCTAGGGATTGCACCGAGCGTTGAAATAATTATGTAGATCTAAATACGCAAAGGTGTGGGTGAGTCAGAGTGTGTTAGTTGTGGGTCCAATCTATGGTGTGCCAGTGGTGGGTGATAGTGGGTTAAAGCTGTGTTAACTATGGACCAGTGGTGGGTGATAGTGGGTTAAAGCTGTGTTAACTATGGACCAGTGGTGGGTGATAGTGGGTTAAAGCTGTGTTAACTATGGACCAGTGGCGGGTGATAGTGGGTTAAAGCTGTGTTAACTATGGACCAGTGGTGGGTGATAGTGGGTTAAAGCTGTGTTAACTATGGACCAGTGGTGGGTGATAGTGGGTTAAAGCTGTGTTAACTATGGACCAGTGGTGGGTGATAGTGGGTTAAAGCTGTGTTAACTATGGACCAGTGGTGGGTGATAGTGGGTTAAAGCTGTGTGTTAATTCTGTACCAGTGGTGGGTGATAGTGGGTTAAAGCCGTGTTCACTCTATACCAAAGCTGTGTGTTAATTATGTACCCGTGTATCTGTCTCTAGCGGCCGACCAGTCTACAGCGGTATCGATGTCTTACCGTATCGACCACGATCGGCTGAGATCAATGCTAGACATACGGCGGTGTTGGAGCCGATCCTTTGTTCTGGTATCGACCGACAAGGATTTGATGAAGTTAGTTCTCGGCCGTCACTAAGTTGTTAGCCACTGTCTTAAGTTACTCGTCTCTACACGCCCATTGGGGCACCAGAATACACAGTTCAGCGAATCTGACTTTAAAGAAAGCTGTAGATTCCTAGTTGACGCGTAGTTCTTTTGTTTTGTCCAGCCAACGTTTAGACAAAAGTTTTAGCTCAAGCCACCAAAACACTATCTGTGAAGACGCAACAGCATTGTATAAGCTTCATCTCAGTCTGATGGACACCAATGGGCTGTATTTTTGGCCAGTCTGCAGCATCAAATCTAGACAATCTAAAAGGTCACTGTCAAGCGGGTCTACTGATTTAACAAGGGAGGATAAGCCTTGGTAAAAGTTAAGGATCTTTTCCAGATAAGCCCCGCCACAAATGCAAAAAGTGCACGCGCGATCAGTTACGCCCAAATACATTTAGCCAGCTACAGTCTAAAGCACGCAAGCAACCTTGAGGCAGTGTTAAAGGTACGAAAATACAGACCTTTCATGCAAATTATTAATGACATATTCAAATAAAAACTTAAAGTACAAGTTTCATATCCTCTTTATAGTCTGTTTTTAAATGGCGGGGGTTAACTTTTTGGAGGGGCTTGCTTTTATAGAACTTTTATAGAAGCGTTATGGCTATTAAAAACCCCTATACACTTCCCCTTCCACGCTACTGTCAGACGTGTAAACGTCTACTACACACCACAACAAAACACATCCACGTCCTGAGTTTTAAACCCGTGGGGGTGAGATCAACTCACCGTTCAAGGTCACGGTGTTTTCTCGCCGCACGGCATGAAACCAGCGACCTGTAAACAAGCCCGCTCCTCGCCGCGCCGCTCCTAGCCGCCGGGGTTTATCTTTATGCCTCCTTATTAACCTCTCGGGCTAATGGTAGTAATAATACAGGGGCGTCTGCCAAAAACATGGGGCCCGGGCTAATTAGACCCGAGGTGGGAGTCGTCGATAGGGGAAGGATTTGAAAGGTGGACGCGCTGGCTGGAGGTGGGGAAACAATTAGGAAAGTTGTGGGATGAGTGGTTGGGGCGTAAGAGTGCAGGTCGAGGGTGTGTGGATGTGGTGAGTGCAGGTCGAGGGTGTGTAGTTATGGTGAGTGTAGGTCAAAGATGTGTGGTCAGGATGAGTGCAGGTCAAGGACGTGTGGTCAGGGTGGGTGCAGGTCAAGGATGTGTGGTCAGGATGGTTGCAGGTCAAGGGTGTGTGGTCAGGGTAAATGCAGGTCAAGGGTGTGTGGTTAGGGTGAATGCAGGTCAAGGGTGTGTGGTTATGGTGTAAGAGTGTAGGTCAATGATGTGTGGTCAGGATGAGTGCAGGTCAAGGACGTGTGGTCAGGATGAGTACAGGTCAAGAAAGTGTGGTCAGGATGTGTGCAGGTAAAGAACGTGTGGTCGGGATGTGTGCAGGTAAAGAACGTGTGGTCAGGATGTGTGCAGGTAAAGAACGTGTGGTCAGGGTGAGTGTAGGTCAAGGACGTGTGGTCAGGATGGGTGTAGGTCAAGGACGTGTGGTCAGGATGGGTGTAGGTCAAGGACGTGTGGTCAGGATGGGTGTAGGTCAAGAACGTGTGGCCAGGATGAGTGTGGGTCAAGGACGTGTGGTCAGGATGAGTGTAGGTCAAGGACGTGTGGTCAGGATGGGTGTAGGTCAAGAACGTGTGGTCAGGATGAGTGTGGGTCAAGGACGTATGGCCAGGATGAGTGTGGGTCAAGGACGTATGGCCAGGATGAGTGTGGGTCAAGGACGTATGGCCAGGATGAGTGCATGTAAAGGACGTGTGGTCAAAGTGAGTGTCGTGTGGTCATAATAAGAGTGCAGGTCAAGGACGTATTGTTCGGATAGGAGTGTGGGTCATGGACGTGTTGTCAAGTTAAGAGTGCAGGTCAAGGGAGTATAGTCGAGATTAAGAGTGCAGGTCTAGGGAGGTTAGTCGAGATTAAGAGTGCAGGTCTAGGGAGTATAGTCGAGATTAAGAGTGCAGGTCTAGGGAGTATAGTCGAGATTAAGAGTGCAGGTCAAGGGAGGTTAGTCGAGATTAAGAGTGCAGGTCAAGGGAGGTTAGTCGAGATTAAGAGTGCAGGTCAAGGGAGGTTAGTCGAGATTAAGAGTGCAGGTCAAGGGAGGTTAGTCGAGATTAAGAGTGCAGGTCTAGGGAGTATAGTCGAGATTAAGAGTGCAGGTCTAGGGAGTATAGTCGAGATTAAGAGTGCAGGTCAAGGGAGGTTAGTCGAGATTAAGAGTGCAGGTCAAGGGAGGTTAGTCGAGATTAAGAGTGCAGGTCAAGGGAGGTTAGTCGAGATTAAGAGTGCAGGTCAAGGGAGGTTAGTCGAGATTAAGAGTGCAGGTCAAGGGAGGTTAGTCGAGATTAAGAGTGCAGGTCAAGGGAGGTTAGTCGAGATTAAGAGTGCAGGTCAAGGGAGGTTAGTCGAGATTAAGAGTGCAGGTCAATGGAGGTTAGTCGAGATTAAGAGTGCAGGTCTAGGGAGGTTAGTCGAGATTAAGAGTGCAGGTCAAGGGAGGTTAGTCGAGATTAAGAGTGCAGGTCAAGGGAGGTTAGTCGAGATTAAGAGTGCAGGTCAAGGGAGGTTAGTCGAGATTAAGAGTGCAGGTCAAGGGAGGTTAGTCGAGATTAAGAGTGCAGGTCAAGGGAGGTTAGTCGAGATTAAGAGTGCAGGTCTAGGGAGGTTAGTCGAGATTAAGAGTGCAGGTCAAGGGAGGTTAGTCGAGATTAAGAGTGCAGGTCTAGGGAGTATAGTCGAGATTAAGAGTGCAGGTCAAGGACATAAAGTGGTCAAGCACGCATCATTGTGAGGGTGCAGGTCAAGGATGTAAAGTTGTCAAGCACGGTTCATAGTGAGGGTGCAGGTCAAGGATGTGTAGCCAGGATGAAGAACAAGGGTCTTTTATATTTCGTAGCTATAATATAAGTTAACAAGTAACAACACAGTAAAATGTCCTTACCTTTCTTGGACTTGGCCCCAATCTTTAACTTTGATGGCCATGTGATCTGTGTGTTGGTTTCATCCATAATCTTTAAACAAAAATATGATTCCATCATTATCCATCATAAATCTTTTAAAAATATTATTCTATAATTTTCCATCCATAATCTTTAAACAAAAATATGATTCCATACATTATCCATCATAAATCTTTAAAAAATATTATTCTATAATTTTCCATCCATAATCTTTAAACAAAAATATGATTCCATCATTATCCATCATAAATCTTTAAAAAATATTATTCTATAATTTTCCATCCATAATCTTTAAACAAAAATATGATTCCATCATTATCCATCATAAATCTTTAAAAAATATTATTCTATAATTTTCCATCCATAATCTTAAAAAAATATAATCATCATTTCAATCTAAAATCTTTTTTTTAAATTAGTACACCTTAATTAAAAGTGAATTTACCTATTCTAAATAAAGTAGAAACCAGCAATTTTTTTTTAAAAATCTGTCATCTCATCTAATTTGCACGCAAGACTGAGTGACTCTATGATAGACGGGTCAAAGGTTACACATGTTTAGATAACCAATGAGCTCTTGTCAGCCTCATCACGTACTGAATCATTTTTTGTTGACTTTACGGTGGGGGGGGGGGGGGGGGGGGGGGACGGCAACATACATTCGCTCCATCAGTCCAAATTACTTTAAAAGCTTTAAATAAACATTTCTGATCAATGGCATGATTATAATGGCGCGATAATTATAATACGTTTTGAGAAAGATTGGCGTGTGATTAAGATAATTAAAGAGATGTTAAGAAGAGTGAAAGCATTAACTCCACATTTCTCCCCTCTCCCTGTAAATAACTGCAAATATCCACACACAAAAAGTACATACATAAACAGATTGAGAAATACTTCACTGATAGATTTTTTTTAAAAGCCAAACCTTCAACGTTAAATATTTTAAAATTTATTCTCCGATACCTGTCGACAAAACCTCTAGCAAATTTAGTGCCAAAAAATGTATACATTCATCGATACAGCTTGATCTATCTTGCTGATAAGATTTGTCAACGATTACATTAGTCATTTAGGCCTGGATAAAAAAAACCTTCTCTATGTCAATAAAGCAAGACGTTACGGCCCTTAGTGTGGGATTATGTAGCATATCAAATTTTAGACATGCAATAGACGGTGTTTGCGTGTTAAGTTCAAGGTAGAGGAACGACAAGCGATATTCGATACTATTCAGTATCGCTTATGAAACCCAACCCTAAATTTAACCTTAACCCAAAGACAAGAACGGCTTCAGAATCTGCAGTAAATTGTCTAATAGACATAACAAATTTCGTCCTTCTCTACAAAGAAAAAAAAATTATAACGGTGAAATATGTATCTAAAACAAGGATAAAAGACACAGACGGAACTGTTAACATATCTCTCACCCCATTTCAAGTGCTCCCCCCCCCCTCCCCTTGCATTACCGTTTTGCATAGAACCCGCTAAATCAAACGAATGGTCCACATGCTACAAGATCTATATTTAAAAACACCCAACACAAAATAGATGGTTCTAAAGAGCAGCGAGGGTGCCATTGAAAGCCCTCGACTGGCATAAAGTGCCGATGAAGGCGGATTGACTTATCAGCTAATTCCCTCCAGCTTTGAAGAACAACTTGAGCCTTGTCTCCGCCCGCACGTTTGACATTTGAAAAGGCGAGGATTCCATGCAATCATTTCATGGCCCACATAACAAGCAGGTATTATACTTTCTTCTAGATTGGTATCATTCAAGGCGGGCATGATCTCACAAACTTGAATGTGGAAACATTGCCCCTTTTTGTTTGACTTTCTCTCCCCCCTCCCCCACACACACACTTGGTGTAAAGCCGTTTAGTTTTAAATTACGTTAAATATCTTACAGGCACATGAACACAGCTATGGTAAGATCGTGTAGGACCAGATTTCTAGGGAACTACAGTGTAGAATATTTAAGAGGCCGGTGGAACCAGTCCGGCACGGTAGGATTGCCTACCAGTACGCTCCTCAGCGAAGACACGTCAGTTTGCCCAGCACTAAGTACTTGAAGGAATGAAGTCTCCGTGTGCTGACAGATAGGGGATATCTCTTCTCGTAATCTTGATATTGGTATAAGGGAGGGGGGGGCATCTTAGTGGCTCATGCTGTTAGCACACGTCCACTACCGTCTAACTACCAACACAACGTCAACTATCATCTAACTACCAACACATAACGTCACTACCGTCTAACTACCAACACACATAGTCCACTATCGTCTAACTACCAACACACTGCCCACTACCGTCTAACTACCAACGTATAACGTCACTACCGTCTAACTACCAACACAGAACGTCAACTGCCGTCTAACTACCAACACACACCACCCACTACCGTCTAACTACCAACACACACCACCCACTACAATCTAACTACCAACACACAACATCCACTACAATCTAACTACCAACACACAACGTCCACTACCGTCTAACTACCAACACACACCGCCCACTACAATCTAACTACCAACACACACCGCCCCCTGCCGTCTAACTACCAACACAACGTCAAATACCATCTAAATAACAACACATAACGTCACTACTGTCTAACTACCAACACACACCACCCACTAACACCTAGCTGTCAACAAAACAGTCCATTCTCCGTTAACGAAACAAAGATTTTAAAAATACTTCTTTTAAAAATTAATAGAAAGATCTTATCAATCTAATATATAAAGCTCAATTCTGTAACGCATATGTTTGTCGTTGGCATTTCTACGGATTTAAGTGTTAGATCAATTATCGTGCGCGTTTGTCTAAATTTATGAGTTAAAAAATTACTATTAAAAGTGTTGGGAAATCATTTTCATTTTTCAAATTATAGTAATAATTGTCGGCATGTTCATTAAACACAAGTTTTAAAAAAATATCATCTTTTACAAAAATTCTAATTATGTTTTTATTTAGTCCTATAGCGCTTACTTCCCTTTGATAAATTAGGCAAAACACAATTACTTCCCTTTATGAAACCATTGCATTAGTTGAAAAGCATTTACTTTTTAATTACTTTGTTTTGGTGTTGGGAAAAAAATAATTACATAATTAGCGGGGATTGATCAAGTGCAAATGTTTTAGGTATTTTACGGATAAGCTTGGAGTATTATAATTGTTCATTAAATTGAAACAGGCGCGTTCGTTTAAGTGAGTGCAAAAACTATGAATAAGTTGGGGTACTATAGTCGTTTATTAAGCTAAAACAGGCGATTCTGCCCCGGGCGTTTATGTTCGCGTTAGTGTTTTCTTTGTGTTTAGGTGGGTTTGCGTTAGTGGTTGCGTTTTGATTTGGTTCGTTTTTGTTCTTTCTTTTTTCGTTTTTGTTTGTGTTTTTTTTTGTTTGGGTTTGTATTTGTGTTTTTGGTTGGTTTTGCGTTTGGATTTGGTTTGTTTTCGTTTGCTTTTTCGTTGTTTTTTTTTGGTATTGGTGTTTGTGGTTGGGTTTGTTGTTAGGTTTTTGTTTTCGTTTGTTTTTTCTTTGTGTTTGTATTGGTGTTTGTGGTTGTGGTTGGGTTTGTTGTTAGGTTTTTGTTTTCGTTTGTATTTCTAATTGTGTTAGCGTTATGTTTGCGTTTTGTTGTTTTGGTTGGTTGTGGTTTGGGTGGGCAATGCCGGGTTTATGATGATTACTAAACACACAGGTAATGGTCTTTAACGGAAAGGTTTTTCACAGAAGCCAGAGCAGGGCCTGGCCGGGACGGCTAGTTAATAGTAAAATTGACTGTGATACAATCACACGATTGAACGATAGCTTCAAACGTCAATACAGAAATGAAGGCCATTCTGTTAGAGTTCAAATTATGATTGTTAAAATAAAAAATACACACACATACACAATTTCATAATATAAAATAAACTGTAGCAACCGAAATCATAAGCAATAAACAATAACATAAAACTAAAACGAATATTTTATCATGAAAAATAAAAAAAGCCTACAGAATTTCCCCTTCTGGGGAGATAACTCAAAGTGCAACTCAACACAAGAGCGGTAACAATCTCTCCTTTATGCCTTTATCCATTTTACCACCGGGCCACAAAGATTTGTTTTGTTACATACAAGTGGAAACCGGGGCGTAAGAATTAAATTTGCAGCAGGAAAAAAAAATATAATAATAACAAATCTGAAGTGGAAAAGAAAACAAAGGAAGTGCCTTGACTTGACACCGGGTGTTAGACGTCCCATGTAATAATCAACTTTCTCAGAGAGTACGGCATGCTAGGGAGGGGGAGGCTGTAATCACAGCCGTTGTTTCAGCATCTTTACAGTTACAAATGTCGTCTGTTTTCTGTCCAGTCCAGACCAGTGGATAGAGTGTTTATGTGGATAACAAAGGGTTTGGGGTCAATAGCCCCCACATAAAAAACAATGTGATGGTGATAATTGTAATGAACGAAAGAGTACGCATTACATTACAAAACACGTGATGACTTGAAAGAAATTGTATAAAGTAATATACTTATGTGTATATATTATATATATATATATATATATATATATATATATATATATATATATATATATATATATATATATATACATATATATACACACATATATATATACATATATATATACACATATATATATATACACATATATATATACACATATATATATATATATATATATATATATATATATATATATATATATATATATATATATATATATATATAGTGGTGTGTAACTATATATATTTGATGGCTGAAATGAAAGCCTTATAAACTACCCAACTATATATAGCTGATGTCCTGTAAGAAAATAAATGGTATAAAACACGGTAATAAAACCAAATGTTTGCTGGTGCAACTACCTGGACAAGATTATTCTAATAAACGTCTACAGGTGAGCAGGCTATTTTTAACTCCTCTTTTAATAGGGCAGCGGGAAGATGGACAAGAGGGAAGGGGGGATTTTAATTGAATGGAAAATTACTCATACACAAGACGTAAGCAGATGAAACCCATGCCTCCTTTCTCTTCC